CCGCGTGCTCCCCGGGCCCCCGTTGCTTGAACGTAGTTGCCATGGAGATGGGCGGAACCACGGCCATGGAGTTCCATTGCTCGGGCTCTTGCCCCGCGTGCACCGCATCCGTGGCGAAGTGTGGGAAGGGCGACAGGAAGAGATGCTCTCCCGCCATCGTCGCGTGCCTGCAGAGAGAGAGAGAGCTGCGCCGAGGAACTAAGCTAGAGGGCGACAAGAGGAAGGGGTGGATGAGACAGAGGACCGCGGTTATAAACACCAAGACGCGCGCCCATTGGCTGACACACCCCCTTAGGGGCGGGACTTGGTGGGTGACGCCGCTGGAAAGGGCGGGGGGGGCGTGAGGGATAGGGTCACAGTGAGGCAGGGTCAAGAGTTGGTGATGAGTTGGCAGATTTGAGCACAAACACAACCCCGAAGTCCAACCCAGATGCTGGCCGTGACCCCCAGCCTTGATAATCTACACCATAAATCACTACTCCAGCGAATAATGATGATCCTATGTTCACTCTAACCCATAACGTTAACGCAAACCCGAATAAATATAAATCTCGCCCCAACTCTCACCAATAATATGAACACGAAGCTTTTTTTAACCAATCATGTTTACGCTAACCATAAATAACCAATAATGTTGGCACTAACCCGAACACTGCCATATTAACTCTAAGTTGAACTCCAAAGAATGTTAACTCTTAACCCATAAACTAACCCCTAACACACAACTCTATCCTTCTGACTTTGGATCAACTTTGAGCCAACATTATGTCTTGTGACTCAGTCCAAGAGTACTAAACCCATTCTCTCCCTTGGAAAGAAATTTGACATTTTTGCAATACATATACATTTCTCTATTCACACAAGTCAACTTAAAACCCAAATGAAAGAATGTTAGCCGATGGGATTAAAATACCAGAGGGTGGTCCAGATGTCGTGACCTCCAATTCATTGTCCCCTAACATGCTTTTCCTTTGCACATTCATTTCTGTTTTAAATAAACCTTACTTTAAAAATATTTAACTTTTAGAGAATTAAATGGGGGTCACAAGACATTTAGACCACCCTGGATAATGTGCATCTATACTGCAGACAGCCGAACATATGTTGTTGTCTAAAAAGTGGATGTCATTGAAAACAGTTCTAGTGGCTGATATGGGACTAACCTAAAGTTTCACATTTTGTATTTTGTCTCGAATAGGAAGTACATTTTGGTAATCATTTAACCCGGTCTTTTAACGCGACTCTCAAATTTGACATTGGTTCACGGTTGTCCGAATTGTTTTCTGCTCGAGAGAACAGTAGGTCAAATTCCAATAATTTAGGCACTGCTTTCAATACGAAGGACCGTTTAAAAAAAGAAGCATTACCGGAATAGTAATGAGAACCGTTGCTAATTTACACACGCGGTCGGACTTTCAACCTGGCACCCGCCCAGCCACCAAACTCTGCTGACGCAATATTTTGTAAACCTTCCGTCACTAGGGGCGCTAGCCAGGGAGTACCCACACATGGACTAAACCCAAAGTGTTATATAAGGCATGTAACGATGTGGATGGATGGAGGCATCGGTTCACGATTTCAAATGTGCTCATGCGTGAATTCATGCGTTTGGAGAATATATTATATTTTTTAATTCCAAAAATGCCAAGAATCGCATTGGGCGTACGAGTGTGTATTTTGGTCAAACATGATACCGCCATTGCGTCATTTGGTGACTGAAAACTTGAACTGTTACACGGATTATTATTCCGTTTAGCCAGTTTCCCGGCTATTCCACAAGGTGAGATCAGTGGTGCGTGAGAACAGCGACAACAAAACAATGACACAAAAATCAATATTGCAGAGAACGAACGAGTACAGGTCTCTGAAGGAATATTGTACAAGGACCAAATGAACTATTTAACACTTGAGTGCGATCAGCACAATACTCGGTCAGGTGGTTTCAGCGGTAGTGAGCGCGGCTCGCAATCTGGAGGCTCCGAGTTCATAATCCTGGTTGGGGGTTGACTCAAGTTTCATTTATTAGGTATAGCCCTGTGAGCCATGCGGCTCTTGAGACGGGTGCAACCGCAACAAACAAAATATGAACAGAGAAACATCTTAAAGCGACGACGCGCAACAGAAACATCCTGGGATAAAAACCAGCAAATCTTCCAGAAAAAAACCCCACCGTAACACAACGCTGTGTGCAAAAATCCCAGTGTGATGCAAGTCAAACAATAACAACCATTATTTACATTGAGACCTCTTTTGCCAGAAACAAGATATAGGAATAGGTTTTACCCTTTTAACTGGCACAAAAACTGACACCTTCATTCAAGGCATCATGTTTGCAATAACCACAACACAAGCAGTCAAAATGCAAAAAAAAGAGTTGTCTTTTTTGTTTGTCTCATAATGTAAATGCTCACCCCGAGCCCTCAATACTCTGATAGTGCGCTGTTTTTGAGTTGGACGCCTTTTGGCATCTTCTGGTCCAACACCAATGGAGACTAGGCTCTAAGAAAAGCTGTCTCGGGTGTGGACCAATCAAATTCAAGGACAGTGCATATTATCAGGGTTGTCTTTTTTGTTTGCATTTTGACTGCTTGTGTTGTGGTTATTGCAAACATGATGCCTTGAATAAAGGTGTCAGTTTTGTGCCAGTTAAAAGGGTAAAACCTATTCCTAATAACAACCATTCAAACAATAACGACTCAGCCGCTATACGTACCTCTTGGCTGAATACAATGGGTAACCACTTTGTGGGGAAATCAACAGCGATTACCATATTTTATATCTACGTGACTTTACAGATAAAACCAAGAATGTATATAGTGATTACCATAATTCATAAACTTGTCCCACGACATAGGAATGAAGATGTTCATCCACCGGTTGAGTTCCGATTCACAGCCGTAAGTAAAACGACTTTGTTTCATCAAACCTATGTATTTGTTCACATTATATATTTGTTCACATTATTCATGTTTTAACGATGGAGAACCAAAGGGATACAAGGCTGTAGTAAAGGGTTAAGAACCACTGCTCGAGAGTAGTCGTAAACAAGGACAGCCTCGAGCGATTGAAAATCCTTGGCGCAACACCTGATACAATCCAGCGACACCTCGACGTCAGCATTTGCTCCAAAGAGGTAATCGGAAAACCTGATTTTCACGTTGAGCCATCAGACGGCCACCACATCGCTTCTCTTCATCGGGTGGGACGTGGATTCTTTATAGTTTTCGTGTAGTCAGGGGTTACGGATTGGGTGGTAAAGAGTTCGGAGTTAGGGATGATGGTTTAAGGACAGTCGTGCCTGCGACTGCTTTTCCTACGCTGAATTTTTCCGGGCCAAAGTAATTGCAAAACTCCCTCCCCCCATGGCAGATGTGGTTTCACTTTACAGAATGTATGGGTTGACACGTACGGAAATATGTCAACCCATACATCATTAGACCTTTGCCAGTACCAAAATGTAATAATAGGGGTTTTCCCATTTTTTATGGCAACAAAACTGAAACCTTTTTACAATGATTCATGTCTGCATTAACCACAATACCTGCAGTCAAAATGCAAACCAAAAACATACTATGATAATATATGCATTGTTCTTGAAGCTGATTGGTCCACACCAAGGGACGGCTTTCTTTTGAGCCTCGACCCAATTGGTGCTCGACCAGATGACGCCTTATATTATCACAGTATATTTTTTGTTTGCATTTTGACTGCAGGTATTGTGGTTAATGCAGACATGAATCCTTGTAAAAAGGTTTCAGTTTTGTTGCCAGAAAAAAGGGGAAAACCCCTATTATTCAACCCATACAGTTTACCCGTATTCTTGTACAGGGGAAATTGAGTTTTCAGGTCCATACGGCGTCCAGCCGTTTCGATACGTGTAAACATTTTTTCGTCTATTTGTGTTTCTCCCTTGTGATGAGACTTTGTAGGATGAACATTGAGATTAATAAGGGCACAGGGTGACCAATAAGGGGCCGTCCATAAATGACGTCACGCGATTTTCGACGATTTTTTTACCCCCCCCCCCCACCTTCGTCACACGGCGTCACAAAAAGTCAGACCCCCCCCTCAAATATGACGTCACAAAGCTCTGCCCCCCTTCCCAAAATAAAACATGCTTGAAATCGCTTTAAACTATTGTCATTGTAGTGCGTTTTTAATGTGCCGCTGCACTCTGATGTTGTAGAAGAAAACATTTATTAAAAAGTCTATTTAATTAAGTAGAACGTGTTGTCTATTTGATGTGACGTCACATTTCTCACCCCCCCCCCCCCTCGTCACACATCGTCACAAATGTCTGACCCCCCCCCCCCCTAGGTGCGTGACGTCATTTATGGACGGCCCCTAAGGTTTGAATTGGCCTTTAATAAGATAAGCACTGATAAGGGGTTGACAGGTATGGATGCTCCGTTGGCAGTGATGAACACGCACAACTAACGAGACGCTCAACACATCTGTCAATAAACTGCCTTAAAAGGAACATATAATGGGCAACGTTTCGGGCAATGACCCTTCTTGATAGCAGATAATTTATGTACCACACAACAATTTATTTTCTACGGGGGGGAAAGGTCCTTGCCCGAAACGTCGCCTATGACACGCGACGAACGCGTTGAGCTTCCAGTTGTCTCGCAGATGAGAAGCAAACGTCTCTTGGGCAACATGTCCACCCCGAGCCACGGCGAGCCCTCTCCATCGCTAAATAATCGGGCGGCATTTCCCCCCCCCCTGACATAACGTGCCCCCCACCACCACCCCATAACCACCCACATCCACCCCCCACCATTACCCCCCACAATCCCCCACCATCACCCTTCCCCTCACCACAATCCCCCCCCACCCCAACAACACCCCCCCACACACCACCACCCCCACCCCCCACAATTACCCTCCCCCCACACACCCCCACCCCCACCACACCCTCCCCTCCACCACCACAATCCCCCCACCCCCGCACCGTCACCAACCCTCCCCCCCCAGCCCACCAACACCCCCCACCACACCAACCGCCCGCCCCCCTTGCGTGCCGCGAGATTACCGCCACCCCTCTCCATGATCCTCCAGCCACCCCGAACCACCACCTCGGACCCCCCGTAACGTCCCCACCACCACCACCACCACCTCCTGCTGCTGCTGCTCTCTCCACCCCATGGCGTTCCCTCTGCCCCGTCCGCGGCCCCCCGAGCTGCCGTCGCACCGCATGCGGAGGCTGGCGTGCGGGCAAGGCGCCGTGCGAGCCGTGCGCTTCAACGGTAACCGCAGCGGGAGTGGAGTGCGGCGGCCGTGGAGGGGCTCTCGGCAAGCCCACGGGCCGCTAGGATAGGCGCGAGGCTTCGGCCTGGAATCCAGGGGGTCGGCGAAACTTTCGCGACCACCGTCTCGTGTTCGCATCCGATCGTTACACTTTATTTTATTTACGCGATCTAACACCTCCCCCCTCCCCCCCGCAAAACAAAAACAAACTTATATTATGGATGATATTGGTCGCGAAAGCCTACGTGTTAAACATACTTTATTTTATTTATTTACACTCGGCACAATCATCACCATCATCAGTATCAGTCCTGTGATGTGAACAGAATAGGCGGCGTGACTGCGGGACGTACTAAACGTTTGTTTATCGAGGTTATGTGTCCCCGGCTATATGACTGTGCAAATTCCTTTTGCTCAGACAAGGCAAAGACACAGGTCCCGCGTGTAGACTGTAGGGGCAAGTGCTGTTAGCGAGCAGCACCTGTGAAGGCCGGCACGGCACACGAGGTGGTGGGGTGGCCAGCACCACGCCCGACCGCCTTTGTCTCCCCAGTGGCGATGTTTACACATACCCCACCAGGTACTCACTTGAGGCCGAGTGGACCTAGGGGAGGCCTAGGACCGGTTCAGATAATCGCTATCGCTGGTGTGGGCCGTGGGCGGGAACCGCTACACTACCGCTCCCCACACTCGGACAAGTTTAACACACGCATTGAACGTGTGTGTTTAACACACGTGCAATGCGTGTGTGTGTTTAACACACGCATTGCACATGTGTGTGTGTGTGTTTAACACACGCATTGCACATGTGTGTGTGTTTAACACACGCATTGCACGTGTGTGTGTGTTTAACACACGCATTGAACGTGTGTGTGTGTGTTTAACACACGCATTGCACATGTGTGTGTTTAACTTTCTAGAGACTATTGAGGCAAGTGCTGTTAGCGAGCACTTATGAGTGGCCGGTAAGGGACACGTCAGAGCTGGATGGCGTTGACCAACACCACGTCCGGTCACCTTTGTCTTCCCCCAGAGCTGGTGTACAGTATTCGTTTAAGGCTGACAAGACCTAGGGGAGGTCAGCGCCGTTTCAGGTGGCACTCGCCGCCGATGTTTGCCGTGTTCAGGAATCGAACTAGGGACGCCGGGTCAGTAGCGCAGTGCTTCTACCGAGGTACACCCACCCAGCCAGCTCGAGTGGCGTTCACAGCTGGGTATATCTTTGTGCCCCCGTGTACTACAGCAGTCTTTACGTCCCTGTCTGCCGTAATGTCAGCGTGCTCGTGTCTCAGATTGTATAATAACCGACGGTCGACGCTATGCCTCCGTGTCCTCCGTGTCTGTGCGATGCAGTGGATGGGAACTACTGCCTGACGTGTGGCAGTGATAAATCCCTGAAGCTGTGGAACCCGGAGACCGGGAGGCTCCTTCACACGTACAGTGGACACGGATACGAGGTGCTGGACGCGGCTGGGTGAGACGACCTCTTTCTGCGTGTGCTCCCATTTCAATGTGTCCCCATGTCTACGTGTGTTCCCATGTCTACGTGTCTCAGCTTGTGCGATACTCTCATCTGCCTCTCCAAGTCCCCATGTGTCTCAGTTCACGTGATAAATGTCAGCTGACCTCATCTCCTTGTTTCTGTCTCCCTGTATCTTGTTTCCCCTGTGTCTCAGCTCGTGTGATAACTCGCAGCTGACCTCGTGTTCGTCGGACAAGACGGTCGCCTTGTGGGATGTGGCCAGCGGACACATGCTGAGGAAATTACGAGGACATGCGGGGGTACGGGAGACACAGGGACATGGTCACACACGGGGTACGTGGAGACACTAACACCCAGGGTTACAAAGGGGAGCTATCTGGACACATGGGGATATGGGGCCATGGGGGTAAGAGGAGAGACATGGGGACACATGGAGATAAGGGGTTACACAGGGATATGGAAGGGGCATGAGTACACACAGGAGGACGGGTTTTTGGAGACATGGCGATGTGTATAAACGTAAAAATGGTAATTTGAACACACGGGGACTCTTGTCTCTTCTGTCTCTCTGTGATTGTGTCCCCACAGAAGGTGAACTGTGTCCGCTTTAATGAGGAGTCAACAGTCATTTTGTCAGGTACGGCATAGTCTCATGTCCAATGTCATCACGTGTGTCTCCAAACAACGTACGTCCCCGTGCCCATACGTTCACATGTCCCTGTGTTCCAGGCTCAGAAGCAATGTCGGCACTCTGTTTGCTGAGGTGGGCCCTGTACCACCATTTGTGCCTTTGGCCCACCCAAGTTTACGTTCCTTAGTGGTGTATCACTGTTATGGTGGCCTACTCAACGACTCTACTGCTCCCCCTCCTCCCATTCAATAGGAGCTGGAGCTCGGCACTGCATGGAAGACACGTTTGGGATGTGAGTCATTGTGTGCCCGTGTTTCTACCTATGTTCCCATGTCCACGTGTCCCTGTGTTCCAGACTCTGAAGACATCCATGAGATAATGGAATGTGACTGCTCGTGCTTTGCGTCCCTATAACCCCTGTTCCCGTGTACCCTGTCACAGGCTCGGAGGACACGTCTGTGCGGTGCTGGGATGTGAGGACACGCGGACAACGTCCCATACAGACGCTGAGTGAAGCCACAGATGGAGTCACGGGGCTGGATGTCACCCAGGGGGACATCATCACGGGGTGGACAACACACGCACGGGGAACACCACGGGACATGCGGGACACATGCTTCACGACTGCCAACCAAACTCAATCACTCAAACACATTCCACTCCCAACCACTTTAAACCATAACTCCACAACCGCACACTCAACTATGCTTATCGACTCTCAACCATGCTAAACCCACTCAATCACAACCACACTCAGTCAACCATACACAGCCACACACCTGATCACTTAAGCACATTGAACCACTCAACTGTACTGCGGTCAACCACACTATGATGTTGTTCATGGTAATGATAATGACGATAACGGATGTTAATAATGATGCTGATGGTGTTGTTGGTGATGGTGTGTAGGTCGGTGGATGGCCGGGTGAGGAGGTACGACCTCCGCATGGGTCAACTTCACACAGACTTTGTGGGCAGTGAGTGACCCGACCCCAGACCTAACCCTGTCTTTGTAGAGCTTATTCGTTGGGTCTTTTGGTAAAGTAACGTAGATAGGTTCAAATTAAGCTTGTTGTGAGTGCATCTGTATGTATGTATGTGTGGGGAGCATTGACATAATGATTCCTGCTCTGTGTCACTAACAGGATGACCTGGCTTCAATTTCCTTCCACGGGTAATGTCAGTGGTGAGCAATATAAATAAATAGTCCTGCGCACCCCCCAGGTCAAATCCGCATAAAATAAGGACCAAGTGCAGTGTGTAAACAAAGACCTCCTTTGTGGACTGCTGGTCTTCAAAGGTACTCGCTAACAGCACTTGCTCCAACAGTCTGTTAAAGGCTATGCAGGGGATCTTTTTTGTTTGTTTGTAAATGAGTACATGAGTGTATGAGTGAATGTGTCATTGTGTTAGTGAGAAAGCATGCGAGTAACTTCATGTATGAGTTTTTGTATGTGCAAGTGGATATGTTAATGTATGCATATGACTATGCATGCTGTGTCGGCCCCGTGATGTTTGTGCCCATTATGAGAGACTGTGTCGTTGACGTGAGACTCTCGTGTGTGTGTGTGTTTATGTCTTTGTATATGTCTGTGAGGAGCGGTTAGTGCACTGCTATGAATGCGGAAAACCGAGTTCGATTCCCGGTTACGGCTAGCACCAGTGACGATTATCTAAACCAGTCCTGGGCCTCCTCTAGGTCGACTCGGCCTCAAATGTGTACCTGGTGCGATGTGTAAACATCGCCTCGAGGGAGACGAAGGCGGCCGGGCATGGTGCTGGCCGTCCATCCCCTTGTGTGCCGTGCCGACCTTCATAGATGCTCACTAAAAGTACTTGCCCCAATAGTCTGTTTAGACGATGTGGGGAATCTTTATCTGTTTTGTATTTGTGTGTCTCTATGTTGCCTAGGCCCTGTGGTGTGTGTGGCGATGACGCGAGACTCTCAGTGTTGCCTGAGCTCAGCCTTGGACTCGACATTGAGGCTCATGGACAATGACACGGGGGAGCTCCTCTCAGAGTACAGACATCAAACACCATCAACCCCATCAACATCGTCGTCACCATCATCCACATTACCACCATAAAAAAATCGATATCACCATCAACACCATCGTCAAAATAATCACCATCAAAATCGCCTCCATCAACATGAACACTAGTAACATAACCATCAACATCAATATCAACCGCATCACCAACATCACTTTCATCAACAATAAAACCACTTTATCAACATAACCATCATCAATATCACCACCGTCAACATAATCATCAACATCATTGGAATGACATGCGGTGCTCCTAAGGGTGGAGACATCATCACCAACTTTATCATGAACATCATTAAGACCAACCTCTATCATCTGTATCTGAGTTTCAATCTCCGTCTCAGTATCTGTGTCTTGGTATCTGTTTCTTGTTGAGTAGATATTTCTACGTGTGCTTGTCTCGCTGCTGCCGTGTCTCTGTTCCAGTGCCTCAGCATCTCAGTGTCCGTCTCTTCGCTTGTGTTTTACCCAGGAAAACCTCACTTAGTCTCAAGACACTTTTTTAGGAGGGTCCTGCCAAGTTATTACATTAGGGGGGGATGTTGCTGTGTGTAATATTAAATGAGTAATTTGTGGGTAATTTTTAAGCATTGGGATGTTTAGCCAATACTACCTACATCGTTTTTCTTTGCTATGGGAGGAAACAGGAGAACCCGGAGGAAAACTATGCAGAACGGGGGGAGAACATAAAAACGCCTCACAGTAAGGCACCAGAGTCAGGAATCGAACCCAGGACCTTCTTGCTGTGAGGCACGAGTGTTACTGCGGTTCCACCCTGCTGCCGCCCTTCTCAGTGACTCAGTGTCTGTGTCTCTGTCTCTAGGTACACAGGACACGTGAGTGGACGCTATAACCTCGACTGCGCGCTCTCAGAGCGAGACACCCATGTGGTGAGCGGCTCCGAGGATGGGAAGGTCTATTTCTGGGACCTCGTGCAGGTGACACCTCCTCATCACCACCTCCTCATCACTGCAACTATCTCATTTACATTCTCACCACAACCCTACATCTCCTCATCACCTTAGCACCTCTTCACCAACTCAACTCATGACACCACATACCCCCTTATTACATGAACCACATTTGCATCCCCTCACGAGATCTCCTCACAATCTCAACACCTCCTCACATGTCACCACCCCCCTACCACCTCCTCAATACACCTCACCTCCCCCTCTCACTACCTACCTGCCACCTCCTCACGACCACAATAACTGTGGTAAGTCAACAATGGGCATCCTATGTTGAGACTGGCCCATGCCGTAGGCATGTGGAATTTCCACTGCCAGATCAGGTTCATGGGCGGAGATGAGCACTGCCCTGTGCCCACTTCAGAATCAGAATTGTTATGTACACTGGAGGAATACGATGAGCTATAAAGCTCATTTTCACAGATGTCCAGTAGGAGTGGGTCAGAAAGTTACAACAAACAATACAAAAATACGATAAGTATAGGAAAGGTAAGCATCAATACCTCATTCCACCATTACCACCATGTTTTCTTATGTCTCCATGTCACCGTATCTCTCTGTCCACGTCTCTCTTGTGTCTGCTTCTCCGTGTATCTTTCATCCCTGTATCTCTGTGATGCCCTTGTGTCTCCACGTCTCTTTGACTACTTGTTTGCAGGCCTCACTCGCTCTCACTCTCGTCGTGGGCAGTGCAGTCGTCCACTCACTCTCGTTCCACCCAAGCAGCCCCATCCTCCTCACGGCATCTGAGGGGACGGTGGATGTGTGGATGACGAAGAGCGACGAGGAGAAAGCCGAGGAGAAAGAGGGGGCAACATAGGGGCCACAGATCACAACTTCGACCACACACTACACTTTATACCACACCATATTACACCACAGAAACGACATTAGCTTATACTACACAACGCAGCACACTAAACTCACAACACACACTTTACTACACAAAACACTAAACTAAACCTGACCACAAATGGTAGCTCAACGTGGTGGCTTATCATGTGGAAATTTATTGCAGCTAAATACTCGAAATGCATGTTTCTATATGTGGAGGGAAAAACCGGAGGACCCTAAGAACAATCCACGGGGAGAACATGCAAACTCCAAATTTCCGGGCTTCAGGGTCAGGATTAAACCCATGACCTGTATACCAGGCAAGGGAGATAACATCTCGCACACACGACACCACACAGCCTATACACTATACTACATAACAGACATGATAACCTACACTATATACAGTGAGGGAAAAAAGTATTTGATCCCCTGCTGATTTTGTACGTTTGCCCACTGACAAAGAAATGATCAGTCTATAATTTTAATGGTAGGTTTATTTGAACAGTGAGAGACAGAATACCAACAAAAAAATCCAGAAAAACGCATGTCAAAAATGTTATAATTTGATTTGCATTTTAATGAGGGAAATAAGTATTTGACCCCTCTGCAAAACATGACTTAGTACTTGGTGGCAAAACCCTTGTTGGCAATCACAGAGGTCAGACGTTTCTTGTAGTTGGCCACCAGGTGTGCACACATCTCAGGAGGGATTTTGTCCCACTCCTCTTTGCAGATCTTCTCCAAGTCATTAAGGTTTCGAGGCTGACGTTTGGCAACTCGAACCTTCAGCTTCCTCCACAGATTTTCTATGGGATTAAGGTTTGGAGACTGGCTAGGCTACTCCAGGACCTTAATGTGCTTCTTCTTGAGCCACTCCTTTGTTGCCTTGGCCGTGTGTTTTGGGTCATTGTCATGCTGGAATACCCATCCATGACCCATTTTCAATGCCCTGGTTGAGGGAAGGAGGTTCTCACCCAAGATTTGACGGTACATGGCGGTGAAGTTGTCCTGTCCCCTTAGCAGAAAAACACCCCCAAAGCATAATGTTTCCACCTCCATGTTTGACGGTGGGGATGGTGTTCTTGGGGTCATAGGCAGCATTCCTCCTACTCCAAACACGGCGAGTTGAGTTGATGCCAAAGAGCTCCATTTTGGTTTCGTCTGACCACAACACTTTCACCCAGTTGTCCTCTGAATCATTCAGATGTTCATTGGCAAACTTCAGACGGGCATGTATATGTGCTTTCTTGAGCAGGGGGACCTTGCTGGCGCTGCAGGATTTCAGTCCTTCATGGCGAAGTGTGTTACCAATTGTTTTCTTGGTGACTATGGTCCCAGCTGCCTTGAGATCATTGAAAAGATCCTCCCGTGTAGTTCTGGGCTGATTCCTCACCGTTCTCATGATCATTGCAACTCCACGAGGTGAGATCTTGCATGGAGCCCCAGGCCGAGGGAGATTGACAGTTCTTTTGTGTTTCTTCCATTTGTGAATAATCGCACCAACTGTTGTCACCTCCAAGCTGCTTGGCAATGGTCTTGTAGCCCATTCCAGCCTTGTGTAGGTCTACAATCTTGTCCCTGACATCCTTGGAGAGCTCTTTGGTCTTGGCCATGGTGGAGAGTTTGGAATCTGATTGCGTCTGTGGACAGGTGTCTTTTATACAGGTAATAAGCTGAGATTAGGAGCACTCCCTTTCAGTGTGCTCCTAATCTCAGCTCGTTATCTGTATAAAAGACACCTGGGAGCCAGAAATCTTTCTGATTGATAGGGGGCAAATACTTATTTCCCTCATTAAAATGCAAATCAATTTATAACATTTTTGACATGCGTTTTTCTGGATTTTGTTGTTATTCTGTCTCACTGTTCAAATAAACCTACCATTAAAATTATAGACTGATCATTTCTTTGTCAGTGGGCAAACGTACAAAATCAGCAGGGGATCAAATATTTTTTTCCCTCACTATTATACTACACAAAATTGGTCAACGGATGGAGCATTTGTACAGTGGTTTGCGAGCCATATTCTGGGCCTGGTAACCTAAGTTAGATTTCTGGCTTTGGCTAACATCAGTGGCCAGTGACATCTGCACTGAACGAGGGCCTGCACCACGACACATTACACCATACAACGCACAACCTACACGACACATTATACTTCACTGTAAAACATTCAAAACACACTTGAACAGCAACAGCCCCCATTTACCATGAAGCGCTTATGCCAGGCTAGGTGCATGTTAAGGTTATGGGAAGTATCGAAGACTTGCTGGCAGAAGCACCACCTGTTCTCCACTGGCACACACTCTCACGCACTACACTACACTATTTACATGTACATTCGTCGTTGTCAGTCCATTGCTGGATGAGGGCCTCCTCATGCCTTACATGTCATGGAGCAGAGGGGGGGGAGTTAATTGTACCTCAAGCGCTGTTGGCTACGTAGGGTGCGAAAGAAGTTCAACATACCAGTGTGATATATATCACACTGGTAAAGGGAGCATATTAATCCAATGGATTTTTCTGCAGTCATCTGCCCACAATACCCCCGCATGATGCCGTTGAGAAATGTACGATATACTTTGTTTATACTGTATTACACCAAACAGCACGCGTTTTGAAATAAAAGTTTTTAAATAAAAGTCATTGGGGTCAGGCGGTTGTGTGGGAGGGTTATGACAATGGGGACTTTTACTCCAATTTCTTACCAGCTGTCCTCTGGGCGTTGTCAGGAGAACAAAGAATCAGCTATGAATGTTCGTATTACAGAAGCGTTCGTGGAAGTATATATTACAGAACTACCTCTTGAGATCCCTCAACTCACCAATGTGTAACGCTAGGCGGCAGCGCTTTTCCCTCTGCCCCACTATCGAGTCATGTTAATCGCATGATAATAAAATATATCTAATTCTCAGCTAAAATGTAGCCTAATTTATAGTAAAATGAAATGTAACGTTTGTGTTTGCGCCTGGAGTCATTTCTGACCGACTGGAGACCATCTCGCTACACTTGAGAACTCGGTTTAAGCACCGGTAGTTGCCTCAATTCGAACCCAGCATCTCCGCGGTGTCTCGACTTGGCACTCGTGTCTCTTGAGCCATTTGGCCAGTGGGGACATGTCTTATGTCGCTTCTGAATTTAGTCCAAAGGAGATGCGGGGTCCTCATGACGAATGATTCACCTGTGTACGAGACACTGGGAACTCCTTTGATGAAAGCGGAAGACTCCGACCCTGTCTGGTCTGTATGAGATACATGAAAGACTTCGCCTAAAGATTCCGTTCGTGACCGATTGGAGATACGGGGGTGGGTGGTGATGGCTTATGATGAAAGCTCTGACCTTGCCTGCATGGGTTATAGCAGGCACGGGGTCGCTCACCGACCGTGTCTGTTCTGTAGGGAGGAGCTACAGGGCAAACTTATTAAGATTCTATCCGTGTCCGGTCGATCGGATAAACGTTGGGGTGGGGGGGCTTATTATGAAAGCGCCGACCTTGTCTGTATGGCCTATAGGAGGCACGGGGTCGCTCACCGACTGTCTATAGTCTGTAGGAGCTACAGGGAATACTTATTAATATTCCGTCCGTGTCCGGTCGATCGAATAAACGGGGAGCCCTTATTATGAAAATGCCGACCTTGTCTGCGTGGTCTAAAGGAGGCACAGGGACGCTCATTGTGAAGGCTCTCGCATTATCTTGGACAAATGACTCACAGGGGAACTCTTATTATGAAGGTTTTGCTCGTATCCAAGATATAGGAAAACCCTGGGGAACACTTATTGTGAAGGCGCTTATGAGCTCTTATTATACAGTCTATACCCGCATCTAATTTGTACGATCCATTTGGGGTTCTTATTGTGAAGTCTCTGCCCGTATCTGAGCACGAGGAGGCACAGGCAGACTCTTACTGTGAAGGTTCTGCCCGTGTCTGGTCTATGGGCAACACAGAGAGGACTCTTACTGTGAAGGTTCTGCCCGTGTCTGGTCTATGGGCGACACAGATAACTCTTACTGTGAAGGTTCTGCCCGTGCCTTGGTCTATGGGCGACACAGAGGACTCTTACTGTGAAGGTTCTACCCGTGTCTGGTCTATGGGCGACACAGAGGACTCTTACTGTGAAGGTTCTGCCCGTGTCTGGTCTTTGGGCGACACAGAAGACTCTTACTGTGAAGGTTCTGCCCGTGTCTGGTCTATGGGCGACACAGAATACTCTTACTGTGAAGGTTCTGCCCGTGTCTGGTCTATGGGCGACACAGAATACTCTTACTGTGAAGGTTCTGCCCGTGTCTGGTCTATGGGCGACACAGAGAGGACTCTTACTATGAAGGTTCTGCCCGTGTCTGGTCTATGGGCGACACAGAGAGGGCTCTTACTATGAAGGTTCTGCCCGTGTCTGGTCTATGGGCGACACAGAGGACTCTTACTGTGAAGGTTCTGCCCGTGCCTTGGTCTATGGGCGACACAGAGGACTCTTACTGTGAAGGTTCTGCCCGTGTCTGGTCTATGGGCGACACAGAGGACTCTTACTGTGAAGGTTCTGCCCGTGTCTGGTCTATGGGCGACACAGAATACTCTTACTGTGAAGGTTCTGCCCGTGTCTGGTCTTTGGGCGACACAGAAGACTCTTACTGTGAAGGTTCTGCCCGTGTCTGGTCTATGGGCGACACAGAATACTCTTACTGTGAAGGTTCTGCCCGTGTCTGGTCTATGGGCGACACAGAATACTCTTACTGTGAAGGTTCTGCCCGTGTCTGGTCTATGGGCGACACAGAGAGGACTCTTACTATGAAGGTTCTGCCAGTGTCTGGTCTATAGGAGACACAGAGGACTCTTACTGTGAAGGTTCTGCCCGTGTCTGGTCTATGGGCGACACAGAGGACTCTTACTGTGAAGGTTCTGCCCGTGTCTGGTCTATGGGCGACACAGAGGACTCTTACTGTGAAGGTTCTGCCCGTGTCTGGTCTATGGGCGACACAGAGGACTCTTACTGTGAAGGTTCTGCCAGTGTCTGGTCTATGGGCGACACAGAGGACTCTTACTATGAAGGTTCTGCCCGTGTCTGGTCTATGGGCGACACAGGACTCTTACTGTGAAGGTTCTGCCCGTGTCTGGTCTATGGGCGACACAGAGGACTCTTACTGTGAAGGTTCTGCCCGTGTCTGGTCTATGGGCGACACAGAGGACTCTTACTGTGAAGGTTCTGCCCGTGTCTGGTCTATGGGCGACACAGAGGACTCTTACTGTGAAGGTTCTGCCCGTGTCTGGTCTATGGGAGACACAGAGGACTCTTACTGTGAAGGTTCTGCCCGTGCCTGGTCTATGGGCGACACAGAGGACTCTTACTGTGAAGGTTCTGCCCGTGTCTGGTCTATGGGCGACAGGGGGGGGGGGACTCTTACTGTGAAGTCGCTGCCCGAGGCCGCGACTGCTGACTCACGGTGACTGTGCCGCTCTCCTCGGTCCAGAACCGGGGCCGAGAGGACGAGGAGAGGACGAAGTGAGACGAGGTGAGGGGGTAACGACGCGCGGGGGTGGGAAGAGAAAGAGGTGAAGCGGGAGAGACGAGGAGTGATGAGGTGAGGTGGAGATCGAGACGCGAGGTGGGGAATCGGAGCAGGAAGACGGGGTGGGTGGGGGGCGGGGAGCAGCAAGAGAGCGGGAAACGATGTGAGGGTGATGAGGGGAGCGAGGGAGGGCGAGGAGAGGTGAGGGGAGGTGGGGAGGATAGATGACAAGAGGTGAGGGAGACGAGGTGAGGAGAGATTGAGAGACGAGGTGAGGCCGTGGCGGCGCCTATGGTGGTTTGTGATTGTTGATGTCGAGGCTGTGGTTGACAATGTGATTGTTGACTGTCGCTGTTGTAGACTGTGGTTGTAGACTGTGGTTGTAGAGGCCTTGTTGACATTGTGGTTGCTGTTGTAGACTGTGGTTGTAGACTATGGTTGTAGACTGTGGTTGTAGAGGCCTTGTTGACATTGTGGTTGCTGTTGTAGACTGTGGTTGTAGACTGTGGTTGTAGAGAGGCCTTGTTGACATTGTGGTTGCTGTTGTAGACTGTGGTTGTAGACTATGGTTGTAGACTGTGGTTGTAGACTGTGGTTGTAGAGGCCTTGTTGACATTGTGGTTGCTGTTGTAGACTGTGGTTGTAGACTGTGGTTGTAGAGAGGCCTTGTTGACATTGTGGTTGCTGTTGTAGACTGTGGTTGTAGACTATGGTTGTAGACTGTGGTTGTAGACTGTGGTTGTAGAGGCCTTGTTGACATTGTGGTTGCTGTTGTAGACTATGGTTGTAGACTGTGGTTGTAGACTGTGGTTGTAGAGGCCTTGTTGACATTGTGGTTGCTGTTGTAGACTGTGGTTGTTGACTATGGTTGTATACTGTGGTTGTAGACTGTGGTTGTAGAGGCCTTGTTGACATTGTGGTTGCTGTTGTAGACTGGTTGTTGACTGTGGTTGTAGACTGTGGTTGTAGAAGCCTTGTTGACATTGTGGTTGCTGTTGTTGACTGTGGTTGTTGACTGGTTGTTGACTGTGGTTGTAGAGAGGCCTTGTTGACATTGTGGTTGCTGTTGTAGACTGTGGTTGTAGACTATGGTTGTAGACTATGGTTGTAGAGGCCTTGTTAACATTGTGGTTGCTGTTGTTGACTGTGGTTGTTGACTGGTTGTTGACTGTGGTTGTAGAGGCCTTGTTGACATTGTGGTTGCTGTTGTAGACTATGGTTGTTAACTGTGGTTGTAGAGAGGCCTTGTTGACATTGTGGTTGCTGTTGTAGACTGTGGTTGTAGAGGCCTTGTTGACATTGTGGTTGCTGTTGTAGACTGTGGTTGTAGCCTGTGGTTGTTGACTGTGGTTGTAGAGGCCTTGTTGACATTGTGGTTGCTGTTGTAGACTATGGTTGTTGACTATGGTTGTAGACTGTGGTTGTAGAGGCCTTGTTGACATTGTGGTTGCTGTTGTAGACTGGTTGTTGACTATGGTTGAGATCGTGGTTGTAGAGGCCTTGACATTGTGGTTGCTGTTGTAGACTGTGGTTGTAGACTATGGTTGTTGACTGTGGTTGTAGAGGCCTTGTTGACATTGTGGTTGCTGTTGTAGACTGTGGTTGTAGACTGTGGTTGTTGACTGTGGTTGTAGAGGCCTTGTTGACATTGTGGTTGCTGTTGTAGACTATGGTTGTTAACTGTGGTTGTAGAGAGGCCTTGGGGACATTGTGGTTGCTGTTGTAGACTGTGGTTGTAGACTATGGTTGTAGACTATGGTTGTAGAGGCCTTGTTGACATTGTGGTTGCAGTTGTAGACTGTGGTTGTTGACTATGGTTGTAGACTGTGGTTGTGGAGAGGCCTTGGGGACATTGTGGTTGCTGTTGTAGACTGTGGTTGTAGACTATGGTTGTAGACTATGGTTGTAGAGGCCTTGTTGACATTGTGGTTGCTGTTGTAGACTGTGGTTGTAGCCTGTGGTTGTAGACTGTGGTTGTAGAGGCCTTGTTGACATTGTGGTTGCTGTTGTAGACTATGGTTGTTGACTATGGTTGTAGACTATGGTTGTAGAGGCCTTGTTGACATTGTGGTTGCTGTTGTAGACTGGTTGTAGACTGTGGTTGTTGACTGTGGTTGTAGAGGCCTTGTTGACATTGTGGTTGCTGTTGTAGACTATGGTTGTTGACTATGGTTGTAGACTGTGGTTGTAGAGGCCTTGTTGACATTGTGGTTGCTGTTGTAGACTGTGGTTGTAGACTGTGGTTGTAGAGAGGCCTTGTTGACATTGTGGTTGCTGTTGTAGACTGTGGTTGTAGACTATGGTTGTAGACTGTGGTTGTAGAGGCCTTGTTGACATTGTGGTTGCTGTTGTAGACTGTGGTTGTAGACTATGGTTGTAGACTGTGGTTGTAGAGGCCTTGTTGACATTGTGGTTGCTGTTGTAGACTGTGGTTGTAGACTGTGGTTGTAGAGAGGCCTTGTTGACATTGTGGTTGCTGTTGTAGACTGTGGTTGTAGACTATGGTTGTAGACTGTGGTTGTAGACTGTGGTTGTAGAGGCCTTGTTGACATTGTGGTTGCTGTTGTAGACTGTGGTTGTAGACTGTGGTTGTAGAGAGGCCTTGTTGACATTGTGGTTGCTGTTGTAGACTGTGGTTGTAGACTATGGTTGTAGACTGTGGTTGTAGACTGTGGTTGTAGAGGCCTTGTTGACATTGTGGTTGCTGTTGTAGACTATGGTTGTAGACTGTGGTTGTAGACTGTGGTTGTAGAGGCCTTGTTGACATTGTGGTTGCTGTTGTAGACTGTGGTTGTTGACTATGGTTGTATACTGTGGTTGTAGACTGTGGTTGTAGAGGCCTTGTTGACATTGTGGTTGCTGTTGTAGACTGGTTGTTGACTGTGGTTGTAGACTGTGGTTGTAGAAGCCTTGTTGACATTGTGGTTGCTGTTGTTGACTGTGGTTGTTGACTGGTTGTTGACTGTGGTTGTAGAGAGGCCTTGTTGACATTGTGGTTGCTGTTGTAGACTGTGGTTGTAGACTATGGTTGTAGACTATGGTTGTAGAGGCCTTGTTAACATTGTGGTTGCTGTTGTTGACTGTGGTTGTTGACTGGTTGTTGACTGTGGTTGTAGAGGCCTTGTTGACATTGTGGTTGCTGTTGTAGACTATGGTTGTTAACTGTGGTTGTAGAGAGGCCTTGTTGACATTGTGGTTGCTGTTGTAGACTGTGGTTGTAGAGGCCTTGTTGACATTGTGGTTGCTGTTGTAGACTGTGGTTGTTGACTGGTTGTTGACTGTGGTTGTAGAAGCCTTGTTGACATTGTGGTTGCTGTTGTAGACTGTGGTTGTAGCCTGTGGTTGTTGACTGTGGTTGTAGAGGCCTTGTTGACATTGTGGTTGCTGTTGTAGACTATGGTTGTTGACTATGGTTGTAGACTGTGGTTGTAGAGGCCTTGTTGACATTGTGGTTGCTGTTGTAGACTGGTTGTTGACTATGGTTGAGATCGTGGTTGTAGAGGCCTTGACATTGTGGTTGCTGTTGTAGACTGTGGTTGTAGACTATGGTTGGTGACTGTGGTTGTAGAGGCCTTGTTGACATTGTGGTTGCTGTTGTAGACTGTGGTTGTAGACTGTGGTTGTTGACTGTGGTTGTAGAGGCCTTGTTGACATTGTGGTTGCTGTTGTAGACTATGGTTGTTAACTGTGGTTGTAGAGAGGCCTTGGGGACATTGTGGTTGCTGTTGTAGACTGTGGTTGTAGACTATGGTTGTAGACTATGGTTGTAGAGGCCTTGTTGACATTGTGGTTGCAGTTGTAGACTGTGGTTGTTGACTATGGTTGTAGACTGTGGTTGTGGAGAGGCCTTGGGGACATTGTGGTTGCTGTTGTAGACTGTGGTTGTAGACTATGGTTGTAGACTATGGTTGTAGAGGCCTTGTTGACATTGTGGTTGCTGTTGTAGACTGTGGTTGTAGCCTGTGGTTGTAGACTGTGGTTGTAGAGGCCTTGTTGACATTGTGGTTGCTGTTGTAGACTATGGTTGTTGACTATGGTTGTAGACTATGGTTGTAGAGGCCTTGTTGACATTGTGGTTGCTGTTGTAGACTGGTTGTAGACTGTGGTTGTTGACTGTGGTTGTAGAGGCCTTGTTGACATTGTGGTTGCTGTTGTAGACTATGGTTGTTGACTATGGTTGTAGACTGTGGTTGTAGAGGCCTTGTTGACATTGTGGTTGCTGTTGTAGACTGTGGTTGTAGACTGTGGTTGTAGAAGCCTTGGGGACATTGTGGTGCTATGGCTGTTGAGATTGTGGTTGTTGACTGGTTGTAGAGACCGTGTTGACATTATGGTTGCACTAGCTGTTGTAGACTGTGGCTGTTGTAGACTGTGGTTGTAGAGGCCCTTTTTAACGTTGTAGTTGTAACTGTTGTAGACTGTGGCTGTTGTAGACTGTGGTTGTTGGCTGTGGTTGACGTTTTGGTTGTTGGGGGCCTTGGTGACAATGTGGTTGTTGATGTAGTGTGGCTGTCGACAATTGAAGGTGTTAGGTTTGATATTGTCGTTGGTTGTGTGATTATTGAGACTGGTTGAGGTTTTGGTCGAGGACTGTGATTGTGTTTTGTTGAGGTTGTTAATCGTAGTTGCTGCAATTGTGGTGGTTGTTGCTGATTGTTGTGGTTGTTGGTCGGCTCCGTATCATAGTGCTGGTGGTAGTTTTAGTCATTGTAGTTGTAAGTACAGTACGGTAGTGGCATTTGGTGGTAGTGGTTGTATTACAGAGGAAGGTGTTGTATATTTGGTGGTGGTGGTGGTTGTAGTCATGATGTAGTTTTTGCAGGACAGTACAGTAGCGGTTTTTGCTCGTGGGAGTTGTGGTGGTGGTGGTTGTTGTATGGGTTGGTCTCATAGTTGTGGTTAGTGTAGTTTGTGGTTGTTGGGGGAGTTTTGATAATTATCGTGTTGTAATAATTACCCCCCCCCCCCACTAATAATGCTAATTTACATAATACTACTTATGATGGTAATGGTTGTGGTGATGGTGTGGTGGTGATAATAGTGTGGCTTGTGTAACTCATCACTGGGAGTGACACAAAGGTGGCTTGGAATTTGTTTGTCGTGTCCCCACCACTACCACCACCCCTCACACTCACACACATGTCCTTATGAGCCTTGATAGTTGCTTACAAACCGTGAACGTCTCACGCAGTTAATTTTGTCTTTTTCTACCATCCCTGACAGGTTGCGATCTCGAGACAGCCTTTGCGGGCTGGAGATGATGCCCTGGGAGTTGTCTCACTAGACAGCAGCAATTGCCGAGTGATGGGTGCACGTGGTGGATCCGAAAACGCCACCTCCAACGGCACTGCACAACTGCGGCCGACAACCATAATCATAGTCACAACTATAGCCACAACCTCAAACGCACCCTTAGCTGAGCAACCTGAACCGTGATCAACGATAGTGACCACACCTGTTTTGGTGTCTCCGATTCACAACGACACAACAAAATCAATCACACTGGTACATATATTCTCCAACAGCCCGCCAAAACCACAATCGACCTCATCTGCCCCTGTGTCTCAACGCATTTCACCGTATCTCCCGCTGCCACCTTTCTCCTCCTGTGACTTCCATATCCTCCTATCTTTTTCCGCCGTCCTGTGTCTTGTGCCTCCCTTCTTCTTCCTGTGCTTTCCTTCTTCCTGTATCTCCTCGTTCCTCTCTTAATCCGTGTGCCCCACCAGTATTCCAACCGTGCCGCCCCCGGCCCGTATCTCCCTGGCCATGTCTGAGGACCGTGACTGCGACTCCCCGTGCCCCCCATATCTCCCCACGCCGTCCCCGGGGAATCAGTGTGGCTCAGAACCATGGGGCTGCGGGGCGGTGGTGCTGCCCTCCATGCGGGGCGCCGGCGTTCTTGACTACTCGCTTGAAGGCCACGCCGTCTCCGCTTTCACCGTGCTCAACGATCTACGGCTGCGCAGGCAGCTGTGTGACGTGACGCTGCGTGTGCGGGCCGGTGGGGACGAAAAGGACGTGGAGGCGCACAAGGTAAAGACACGGAGGGATGACACGGGGACATGCGGGAGGGAAGACAGTATTAGGGGGGGCACATGGGGAAGATAAAGGAAACAAGGGGTAGACACGAGATGATGGGGGATAACACGGGGACTCAAGAAAGCAGGTAAATATGTAAATATAGTGTCACAGGGAGACAGGGACAAGAGAAGGGAGACAGAAGAACAAGGAAAAATGCAGGGAGGCATGAGGAGGCGTTGGAAGACATGAGGACAAGAGGAACGTTGAAATGCATGATGTTGAGACACAGTGACACACAGGAGGGTGGACAGAAGATGGAGGGGTGGATAAGAGACACTGAAAGGCATGAATTGACAGGAACACAGGGAGATACTAATACCGGGAGAGGAAAGACACAAGTAACGCGTTATGTGCAGGGAGACACTGGGTGGTTCGGGGAATACGGGAAAACAGGAAGAGAAGGGAGACAAGAAGCACAAATTTAGATGCCTTGAGACATGGGGAGAGACATAAGACATTGTGAAGAGAGAGACATTGAGGTACACATGATGAAGACAAATAATATGTAGATATGGGAATTTAAGAGAGACAGATAATTGATGGGAGGCATGGAGAGGTGAAAGGAAATATGGGAGAAGCAGGGTAAGGGGAGGTGCTGGCAGTTACAGGGAACATGGGGAGACACGGGCAGAGGGGAAGGTGAAGATCGGCACAGGAAGACACGGGGAGGATTTTAGGACCAGACGAGATACCGGATGGAGGCAGTGAGAGACAGAAGGAGATTGGGGCAACACAGGGAAACTCTGGGAGGCAAGGGGTTACATTGGGAGGAGAAAGGTGGTATGGGGCGGTATGGAGGTGGGCAGGCCTCAGTAAAGTTATGTGGCCAGGAGTTCGCTATTCACCTTGGTGTGTCCACTGATGTCATCACTATTTAACAGTCGGCCACACCAAAACAAAGCACCTGCCTCAGTACTTTGTTTCATCAATCACTCCAGCCCCTCAACTCTCCATAAGCGATGTGGTATTCATAGAGAAGGTGGAGGAGTTCCTGTACCTGGGCAGTGTACTTATAGCCAGTTCTGGTTCAGCAGCGAAGGGCCTACTCTGAATCAGTTCAGCGGAATTCTCTTTTCATTGGCTGCTTAACGTTGGCCTGTCGCTCCACATGAAACTCTGGGTCTTCTCGGCCACAGTCATGCCCTCAATTCTCTATACTTACAAAATGTGGACCCCTATAGAGGAATACCTGAGCCAGTTTGAAACATCTCTGACAGAACCATGAGAGATCTGGAAATAGTCCCATCAATGAGCTCCCAGCAGGCATAGTTATGTTGGCTGGGTCGTGTAGCCTGCTTGTCCAGCCACTGTCTCTGTGGAGGCGGTTCGTGAAGGTCGCTACTGGGCAGTTGGAGAAAATTGCCATCCAGCAATGAAGGAGGGTGGAGGAGCGATGCTCACAACAACGAGCAGAGCGTAACGCAGTTAAAGTATGTAAAGTTGGAACAGTGGGGAGAACAAGTGGAGCATCTGCTAGTCATCTCAGTTAACCCATAATAAATGGGCCTGTCCCGTGGTCTCCTGGCAGCAAAACTTCGACACTTCGTATGCATTAGAGGTGCACCTAGCCAGACATAATCACCATCATGACGTCACAACTATTTACTGGCAAATGCTAATTCTGTAATGATTGAGTGTGTAAGGAGGTATGTAAATAGTGGGGAGCGGTGGTGTAGCGATTAGCGCGCTGCGCTACGAATTCAGCGACCCAGGTTTTGTTTCCTGCTCATAGTAAACACCAGTGACGATTATCTAAACCGGTCCTGGGCCTTCCCTATGTCGACTCAGCCTCAAATGAATGCCTGGTGCTGTGTGCAAACATCGCCACTTGGGAGACAAAGGCGGCCGGGCGTGGTGCTGGCCACCCACTCCCTCGTGTGCCATGCAGGCCTTCATAGGTGCTCGCTAACAGCACTTGCCCCAACAGTCTGTTAAGGCTATACATGGGATCTTTTTTTGTTTGTAAATCAATACATTAGTGTATGAGTGAATGTGTAAATGTGTTTGTGAGAAAGTGTGTGAGTAACTTTATGAATGAGTGCATGAGTGATTGCATGAGTAAGTGAACATGTGTGTGAGGGAGAAAGTGAGTTTATAAGTAGAGAGTGGGAGCATCGTAGTTGGTGCACCGCATTACAAACCCGGCAACCTGAGTTTAATTCCCACTCGCGGCCAACTTAAGTTTCATATATCTGAACTGGTCCTGGACCTGCCATACGTTGCCTTAAATGAGTACTTTATGTGGTGTCTAAGCATCTACATTTGGGTGGATGGGCATGTTGCTATCCACGGTATCCAATGTCGACCTTTATAGCTGCTTGCTAACAGCACTCGCCCTGAACAGTGTGTTGTATAAGTGAGTGTGTTGGTAAGCGAGTGTGTCGCTGTGTCCCTGTACCCCATGCCAGGTGGTGCTGGCCTCCTGTAGCCCCGTGTTCCGAGCCATGTTCACAGCTGGGCTGAAGGAGAGCGCCATGGAGGTTGTCACCATAGAGGGCGTCCACCCCAAGGTCACTCACTCAACAACTCGCCCACTTAGACATTCACTCAATCACTCATTACTACTCACCCACCCACACTCTGCCACTAAACCTCTTAAAAATTATCTCAATCGCTCATCTACTTACTCATACACTTGCTCCCTCACCCCCTTACCTATGCCCTCACAACCAACTCACTTAATCACCCACTCATCCTCTTACTCAATTACACACATACCCAACTCAGCAAACCACTCTCCCATTCACTGACGCATTCAATCATATTTACCCACTCACTTATCTACCCACTAAAGCATACACTAACTTACTGTCTGATCACTCACACTCACACACACTATGATGATTGTGTATGTTTGGTGTGTGTATGCAGTGCCTTTGTCAGTTCGTGTGCGTTAATGTGCGGGTAAAGTGATGGCGCAGTGCATAGCGCACTACGCTACAAACCCGGTAACCCAAGTAAAATTTCTTCACACAGCTCACATCAGTGGTGAATATTTGAACCAGTCCTGGCCCTCCCCCATGACAATTCAGCCTCAAATGAGTACCTGGTGCAGTGTGTAATCATTAATACTTGAGAGACAAAGGCTGTCGGATGTGGTGTTGGTCACCCACCCCCTCCTATGTCGTTCTGGCCCTCATAGGTGTTTGCTAACAGCACTTGCCCCAACAGCCTGTAAAGGCTATACGGGGGATCTTTGTCTTCTGTATATGTGGGTGTGTATATGTATGTGTGTATACGTCTGTGTGTAGGTGATGGAGCGGCTGGTGGAGTTTGCGTACACGGCGCGCGTCTCCGTGGGCGAACGTTGTGTGCTGCACGTGATGAGCGGGGCCGCCATGTACCAAATGGACGCCGTCGTCACCGCCTGCTGTGACTTCCTGCTCAAGCAGCTGGACCCGAGCAATGCCATCGGCATCGCCAGCTTCGCCGAGCACATCGGCTGCACGGAGCTGCAGAGGGGCGCGCGCGACTACATCTACCGGCACTTCAGCGAGGTCTCAACTCGCACATGTACACTACACCGTGTACACTATCCTGTGTGCACTGTGCACAAGGAGAGTGTCCACGACAACTGTACACAATTTGCAGAGTTCCAGAGAGGCGCGTGCAACTGCGTCTAATGCCACTTCGATAAGATGTCTCACACAATATACTCCGACACAAACAGATTATACGTGACAGTATGCACACTGTACCATATACACTACGGCTGGTACACATTGGCATCACGATTTCACTCAAGAGGTTGTATTTTTGTGTCTTGTTTTTTTATCATCTCTCTCGTATGGTCTGTCTGCTTCAATTTGTTAGTAGGAGGACTTCTCTAACCGGTCTCTCACTGTGTCTCTGTTTTTCCCATCTCGGGTTTTCTAACAGGAGTTTTATAACATGTCTCCTATGTCTTTTTCTGTCTTGCCGTGTCTTAAGTGTGCAAATGGGAGGAGTTGTGTAAAACCAACTCCCTATCTCCCACTGTCTCCCGCTTGTCTCTGTGTCACTATCTCCCTGCGTCCCTGGCGTTTCAGATGGAAGTCCTCCATAACTGGTCTTGCCATCTCCCTGTGTCCCTGCTGTCTCAGGTGTGCAAACAGGAGGAGTTCTATAACCTGTCCCACTGCCAGCTGCTGACTCTGATCAGCCGCGACGAGCTGAACGTGCGCTGCGAGTCGGAGGTCTACAACGCGTGCCTCGAGTGGGTTCGCTACGACTGCGCCAACCGTCGGCCCTACATACACGCCCTGATCAACGCCGTGCGCTGCCACTCTCTCACACCCAGCTTCCTGCAGGTGCTTGCGGGGCACACACGGACACGTGCAAGTACACACAGACATGTGCAGGTACATAAGGACGTATGTAAATGGACAGGTTTTGTCCAGGTACACGAAAACAAAGATCCCCCATGTAGCCCACGCAGAGCATTTGGGCAAGGGCTGTGAGCGAGCACCTATGAAGGTTGCCATGACACTTTGGGGGGGGTAATGTGGCCAGCACCACGCCCAGCTGCCTTTGTCTCCTCAATGCTGATGTTTACACAGCGCACAAGATTGTCATTTATGGCCGATTCAACCTAGAAGGAGGCCCATGACCGTTTCAGATATTTGTCATTTATGTTGACTGTGAGTGGAAATAGCACTTGGATATCTGGTTTTGTAGTGGAGTGTGCTAACCGCTACGCTGTCGCTCCCCAGCTATAAACGGACGCATGCACACACACACAAGTGCTGAATTGCGGCAGTGGTGGGTGGATGCCCACGATCCAGCGCTTTGGAGGCAAGAGTTAGCAGATCATACAGAGATTTATTGGAGCCGTGAGGTGGCTAGCAGAAGGCAGTACAGAAAGTGCGGACATTTGAGCGTTACGTTCCCTCACCTCCCCTTCACCTACCTGTGTGTACCGTGCCCCCGTGTCGCAGGCTCAGCTACAGAAGTGTGAGCTGCTGAGGTCAGACTCTGCTTGCAAGGACTACCTGGCACGCGTCTTCCACGAGCTCACGCTGCACCAGCCCAGCGCCTGCGCAGCCAAAGGCCGCACCCCTGCCGTGCCCCAGCTCGTATACACGGTGAGCACACTCCAAGAACACTAAACACGTACAAAGACCTCCGTATAGCCTTTAACAGACTGTTGGGGCGAGTGCTGGTCACGAACACCTATGAAAGGCCAGCACGGCAAACGAGGGGGTGCGTAGCCAGCACAACGCCCGGCCGCTTTTGTCTTCCCAGTGGCGATGTTTACACATCTTACCAGCTACTAATTTTTGAGGCCGAGTCCACCTCGGGGAGGCCCAGGACTGGTTCAGATAATTGTCACTGGTGTTGGCCGTGAGCGGGATTCGATCTCGGGTCGCCGCGTTCATAGCGAAGCGCGCCAACCGTTGCACTGCCGCTCTCCCCTAAACACAGAAAGTATACAACAACAACAACAACCGCCATTCGCCACTAAGTGGCAGTGACGTCACCACGACGTTTGTCCCAGGACATGTGCACCTTGGGGCCACGTGGAGTGTCGAACGCCCGCTGGCAGGAGGTCACGGGGCAGACCCAGGTGCCACGGGTCGACTGACTGAGATGAGTGGCTGATGCACCACCTGTGCCCCCTACTGTGCCAACCTGCTGTGCTTTAGCCACCCGGCGCTCCGCTCGTTGTTGTGAGCGTCGCTCCTCCGCCCTCCGTTGTTGTTGGAGGGCGACTACCTCCAACTGCCCAGTAGCGTCCTTCACGAGCCTCCTCCACAGAGGCCGATCTTGACACCGCTGGTACCAGTCATCGGCAAGTCCACTCAGCTCTACGTTCTCCTGTACCACATCACTCCATCTCTTCTCTAGCCCGTGCCGCGCCCGTTTAGCCCCCTCGATCCGGCCGAACAAAAGCTGTTTCGGCATGCGGTGGCTGGGCATGCGGGCTACATGACCCAGCCATCACAGCCTTGCCCGCCGGAGGAGCTCACTGATGGGACCTTGCCCAGATCTTTCAAGGATTTGTGAGCTCCTCACACAATCCAGTCTGGTTAAACCCAGGATGGATCGTAGGCAGGCCAGCCTAAATGTTTCTAACCGGCGAAGATGTTCGATTAGGGGGGTCCACGTTTCGCAAGCGTAGAGAAGGGAGGGAATGACCGTGGCTGAGAAGACCTGAAGCTTAGTGCGGAGCGACAGACCAGGTAGCTTCCATACAGCATTACGCAACCGATGAAAAGATATTGCCGCTCGACTGATTCGGAGTGAGACCTCTGCTGTTAAACTGGAGCCGGTCATTAGCACACTTCCCAGCTATGGAAAACTCTCCACTCTCTCCACAATTGCCCCATCACCGATTGGGAGTTGTGGGGGTGGAGTGTCCGATGGTACAAAATACTCAGGCAGGTGCTTAGTTTTGGTGGGGCTGATGGTAAGGCCCCATCTCTTAGTGGCACGCTCCAGTCTCAGCAGCAGCGTCTCCAACACACACGCGCACATCATCTACACACTACACCACACACACTGCACCCCCGCAGTGCCCCATCTCTTATACACAGTGCATACACTGTGTATAAGAGATAAACACAGATTCACACATACTCATATACACCATCCATACCAGTGATGGACAACCTAGACTAGTCGGTGGGCCACATGAGTGGCCCTTCTTCACCGCAGTAGGCTGCAAGCTTGAAATCGTGCTTGTGCACTAATCATGACCACACATAGCCCTAAATACACTTAGCTCAGGCCACCACAAGGGGCTCCATGAGCTGCATGTGTTGGGCAGGTTACCCAACACTGATCCATACACGACACCACAGACACCACACTCGTCGTGCCCCAGCTTATATACATGGTAACTATGCACCACGTATACATGTACATGCACACTCCACCATGCTCCTTTCACTGCTCCTCCCAATGATGCCTTCCCTGCTTTTCCAGCTGCTCCCCCTCTTCCTTCTCCTGTTCCTCATCCTCACGTTTCTCCTCCTGCTCCTCCCCCCACCCACACCCCCTTCCTCCCCCTTGCCCCGTGGTCGCAGGTGGGCGGGTACCTACGCCAGTCCCTGCCGAGCGTGGAGGCGTGGTGCCCCGGCCGCACGTCGTGGCTGCGCCTGTCCGACCTGCCGGTGCCGCGCTCGGGGCTGGCGAGTTGCGTGGTGCACGGCCTGCTCTACGCCGCTGGCGGCCGCAACAACTCCCCCGACGGCAACACCGACTCGTCGGCGCTCGACTGCTTCAACCCCATGAGCAACCAGTGGACCCGCCGGCAGCCCATGAGCGTGGCGCGCAACCGTGTCGGCCTCGGCGTCATCGACGGGCTCATCTACGCCGTGGGGGGCTCTCACGGGTGCATGCACCACAGCAGCGTCGAGAGGTGGGAGACATGGGTTGGTGGGGGGGGACATGGGTTGGTGGGGGGGGACATGGGTTGGTGGGGGGGGGGGGTGCTCAGGGGTGGGGGTTTGGCGAGATGCGGGAACAACACCGGAGCGTGTCTCAGCTGGAGGTGGAGAGAAATAGGGAGACATGGGGGGGGGGATTAGAGGGGGAGACATTGGGAGACGTGGGGTCAGAGAGTGACTCAGCTGCAGGTGAAGAGAAATAGGGAGACATGAAGGATTCGAGAAAGAGACGTGGGAAGATACAGGGACAGGTGAGTTAAGAGTAGCGTGGACAGGTGAGATAAGGACACGGAAATATGGGTGAGACGTGGGAACACATGCGTTACCCGCACCACAGTAGTGTGGAGAGGTCGGGACGAAGGGCGGGAGGTGTAGCAGGGGATACAGGGGACAACGAGACAGGGGAGACATGGGTGTCTCCACCATGGCAATGTCGAGAGGTGGAGATGAGATTGACAGGGGGGATAGGGATAAACATATGGGACACAAATACAGGGGGACACAGCAGGATACAAGGACATACCCATCCATGCCATGGACACCTCACACAGGTGTCTGCACCACATTAGCATGGAGAGTGAGGACAAGTAGGGGAAACAACGGGTAACAGGTACATGGGTAGACAGGAAAAGACGTGTGTCTAAACTAAAGCACTGTGGAGAGATGAAGATGAAAGTGGAGATGGGTGATATGGGGGAAACACAGGTACATGGGTGTTTAAACCACATCCATGTCGAGCGTAGGCAGTGGAAACTGAAAGTGGAGGACACCAGGCCTGTGCATGATTTGTGTTTTTCTCTGTCCCCGTGTCCCCCACTGTCTCTTTTCCCCATGCTCTCCCATGTATCCTCGTATGCCTCTGTTTCCCTTGCTTGTCTCTTTGTGTGTTCCAGCGTCTCCCACTATTTATTTGTATGTCCCCGAGTGCCCTGTCTCTATGTTTTACTGTGTCTCTCTGTACTCCCATGTGTGTTTTTGTGTCCCATCTCCCTGTGTGTCCATGTCCCTTCGTGTCATTTTGGCCTGTCCACTCATGTGTCCTTGTATGTCCTTGTGTCTCATGTTACCCTGTGTTTTGAGTGTCCTGGTTCCTTCTGTTTCTCTGTATGTATCCTTGTGTCCCTGTGTCCCTGTGTATCCCTGTGTCTCCGTGTATCCCTGTGTCCCCGTGTATCCCTATGTCCCCGTGTCCCAGGTACGATCCTGAGAGAGATGAGTGGTCTCGGGTGGAGCCCATGTCCACAGCCCGTATCGGCGTCGGCGTGGCCGTTCTGAACAGGTGACGTGAAGACACGGGGACATGGGACACACTGAGAGGCAGAGAGACACAGGGACTCACAGACACGGAGACAGATCTACACGGGGGACATGCTGGAGGCAGGAGAGACACACAGACTCTGAGACACGAGGATACAAAGACACTGAGATAAAAGACATGGACACACTGGGCAGATAAGAGAAAGAGGGAGACGTGGGAGTACACTGGAAGGCCAAGCGACATGGCATTGGGGACTTGGGGATATGGAGACATGGGACAACAAGGAGAGCTTGCGTATTCTGGGTGATGTTGTTTAGGTTGCAAAATGTAGGTTGTTGTGGTTTATTGTGTTGTCTTGGTAGTGCGATAATTGTGTGGTTGTGTAGGTTGCTGTATGCTGTAAGAGGGTTTAAGTGCTGTTGTGGTGATGCAGTGATGGTCTTTTATGGCTGTTATACCATTGCTTTATAGGTTGCTGTGCGCATCAGGAGGATTCAAGTGCCGTGTCGTGATGATTGTTGTGTGGTTACTCGTATAGTGGTGGTTGCTGTGTGGTGGCTGTAGGTTGCTCTGTACTTTAGGAGGCTTTGATTGTTGTTTTATTGTGGTAATGTAATGATGGTGGTTGTGTGGTTGTTGTAGGATGCTGTAGGTGGCTTTGAATTATATTGTGGTAGTATAGCAATGGTTATTGTGGAGTGCTTGTGTAGTTGTATTGGTTGCTGTATGCTGTAGGAGGTTTATCAGTGTTGTATAGTGATGGATGTTGGGTGGTTGTTGTAGATTGCTCTACACTATAGGAGGAGTGATGATTGTCATGTGGTTGTTGTGGCAGTATAGTGATGGTTATCATGTGGTTGTCAGTTGCTCACAACTATAGGGGGAGTGATGGTTGTCGTGTGGTTGTAGGTTGCTGTACGCTGTAGGAGGGTTTGACGGGGTGCACCGACTCTCCTCGGTTGAGTGTTATCATCCTGAAAACGATGCGTGGCTTCCGGTCGCCTCCATGGGAACCGTGCGCAGTGGAGCAGGTACGCGTGCACACACACTCACATACACATGTAAGGCGCACATACCTATACAAAACAAAAAGATCTCCCGTACTCCCTTTAACAGACTGTTGGGGCAAATGCCGTTAGCGAGCACCTATGAAGGCCGAAACGGTACATGAGGGGGTGGGTGGGCAGCACCAGGTACTCATTTAAGGCTGAGTCGATTGAGGGGGGAGGCCTTGGACCGGTTCAGATATTTGTCACCAATTTTGGCCGTAGGTGTATATACTTACACTCAGTGGATTGACAAAAGAGCTGTGTACATCGATAAGTACCGCCCATTTAAAGGTCTTTCTACATGGACTGGCACATGTACGTACTATTGCGTTAATTGATCGTTTGTGGTTGTAATTCTTGTAGTTGTGCAGTGCGGTGGTGCTCGTGAAGTTTTGTTGTGGTTGTAATAGTTGCGTTGCTGTGGTTGTTAGGAGTGGTTGCGCTGGACCGATACATCTATGCGCTGGGTGGCTATGACGGCGTGGAGCAGCTGGACAGCGTAGAGCGCTACGACCCGGAGACGGACATATGGACGCCCGTGTCTCACATGAGACATCGCAGATCCGCGCTGGGCGTCACTGTCCTTGGGGGGAAGATCTACGTGCTGGGTGAGACGCAGACACACGGCAACGCCGGGGGACACACACGGGGACATAAGGGGACACGTGGGGAGACTTGGGGATGCAGGGGGAGACATAGGGACATACGTGGAGATACGGCAACACAAGGGGAGGCACCGGGGCACTTGGGAACATGGGGGGGGGGGAACACGAGGTCATGAGGAAAACGGGGGAAGGCACAGGGACATGCGGAGAAGCCCGGGGACACACGGTGAGAATTTGTGTGGGGTGAGACACGGGGACACAGGGACACACATGGACATGAGGTTATGCTTCGGGACAGAATCTGCATGCTGGGTGAGACACGGACATGGGAACATAGAATAATCTATATAGTGGGTGAGTCACGGACAAGGCTACATGGAAACACAGACAAGGGAGAACACGGGGACATGATCAGACCAGGGACTGGACAATGACAGGGACTTGCGGTCTTGGGCTCACAAAAATGTAATCGTCTCTTTGTGTCTACCATTGTCTTCACGTGTCTGCATGTGTCCCTGTGCTCCTTTATGTGCCAGTGTTCATACATCTCCTTGTGTCCCTATGTCCCCCTGTCTCCCCCGTGTATTCTTTTGTTCCCATATCCCCCCTATCTGTCCCCATGCCCCCCCAAATTTCTCCCTGGCCCCATCTTCTTCCTACACACGTACATATATCTGCCTCTGTCCCGCTATGTCTCTCCATGTCTCCTCACTTCCCTCTGTCTTCATTACTCCCTTTTTCTCTCTCTGTTCCCGTCGCTCCATATTTGCCCCGTCCCCATATCCTTGTTTCTCTCGATGTTTACCTGTATCCCCAATGTCTACTTGTGTGCTTCTGTTGCTCTGTGTCTCCCTACGTCTCGTTATTTCCCCACGTACCCCCACATGTACCTGTGTCTACCTCTCCATGTGTCTCTGTCTGCTGTGCCACTCCATGCTCTGCCTTCTGTCCCCTTCTCCCTCCCATATCTCCCCATGTATCTCCTATTCCCCTAACACCCCATGTTTCCTCTGTCCTCGTGTCCCCCCACCGCCCCCCACCTCCACGTCTTACCCGTGTCCCAAGGCGGCTATGACGGACAGGCGTTCCTTGCCAGTGTCGAGAGTTACGACGCCGAGTTGGACACCTGGACTGAGGAGACGCCCATGGCGTCTGGGCGCAGCGGCGCCGGTGTCTCCGTCACCATGGAGCCCTGTCTCGCCCGTCTCGAGTACTGAGATATAAAGACACAGGGACATGGACCCAGAGACAAGGAGACACAGAAACGACCGTGGCGTTTGAGCAGACCGGGGCCTGCTGTCTTTCCATTACCATGGAGCCCTGTTTTTGCTGTCTCGAGTACTGAGACTCGAGGACACTGGGACATGGAAGCACGAAGACACAGGAACACAATGACACAAGGACACAGGCACAACCACTTTGTTTAAGGAGACTGAGACTGGTGTCTCTTTTTCTATGGAGCCCTGTGTCTTCCGTCTTGAGTCCTGAGACACGGAGACATGAAGACACGGGGACATGGGACAACAGGGAGGCACAAAAACATGGAACACATGGGGATATGGAGACACATGCATATGAAAGATTTCAGATGTGGGTGTGAAAAAATGAAAACTATGATACAGAGAGACAAGGAAATATGGACACGGAGCCATGGAAACTTGGAGATATGAAAACGTGGAGATGCAGAGACAAGGAGATGGGGAAACAGAGATAATGAGGGAGTCTGATGAGTGTGGTTGGTCACAAACACTTGTGACCCATTCACCTTTAAACTGATGTAGATCCAGTGGGTGGTAACAACCCCCCCCCCTTACACTTTCCTGGCTCAGTGACCGTTTAACCAATCATGACTTAGTGACCGGTCACAACCACAGAGCCATCACGCCACCGGGACTGATGATGAACCCAATGACTGATGATGACCCTGAACTGAATGTGACCCTTGGGAGATAGTGACCCAATAACCGGTCACGACCTCTGGACGCTGGCGTGGAATAATGGTTGCCATTTTGAATTTCCCTTCTGAGATGGAGTCACGACGATGATGTCGATGATGATGTCACATCTGTTAATTGTAATGATAATGTTGATATTGGTGGTGATGATGGTCACATTTATAATTGTGATGTCGATGTTAATATGTTGATGATAGTTATGTTTGTGATGTTGATGATGTGTGAATGACGGTGATGATGTTCATGATGATGAAATAATTTGCTGCTTTAAATAAAGAAGTCGGACATGAATCTAATTGTGTGCCCATGGCTTGATCGCCCATTGACCTAATTTAATGTGACCCAGGATGATGGGTAGAATGCATCTGTGCTTGTATGGACATGTGGGTATGACTATGTCCTGTAATACCTGGGTCTATCCCGTGACATGCTACCAGCGAGCCATCAACAAATCACATGACCCCAAAGTGCCACAAGCGCTGTGGTGATGTGACCGAGCCTTAAGACTTGTGAGTTATAGTTGTATCTGTGTTATTGTATGTGTTAACTTCCTCTATGCACAGTATATGTAATTGGTACCTGATACTACCAATACCACTTGTATGTGGAGACGTGTGTGTATATACATGTGCAAATATGTGGCTATGCATGCATTATGTATGTATTATGGGAATCGGTGGTGGAGTGGTTAGCGTGCTGTGCTACAAACCGGGCGACCTGAGTTTGATTCCTGCTCATAGCCAACATCGATGACGAATACCTGAACTGGTCTTGGGCCTCCAATGTCCACTCGTCATTACAATCAGTAGCTGGTGCGGTGTGTAAGTATCAGCATTGTGGAGACAAAGACGGCTGGGTATGGTGCTGGTCACATCCCCCCCCCCCTTGTGTGCCGTGTTGGCCTGAAGAGGTGGTCAATAACTGCACTTGCCCCAACAATCAGATGAGAATATAGGATGGATCATTGTCTACAATTTGAGGAGTGGTAGCGCAGTGATTAACTCACTGTGCTATGAACCAGCTGTTCTGTTCCTGCTCGCATGCCAATATCAGTTGCGAATCTTTTTAACCGCTCCTGGGTCTCCCCTTATTCTCAAAAAACGTTTCATATTACAATCTTCATTTCTATGCCTTCCTATCCAGTGTATCTCTTCGATTCTTCGCCAAATCCACATTTCAAAACTTTCCAATGTCCCAATACCCCCCTTTGCCAATGCTTACGAGGCATATGTTGTTACACTGCACACGTTTATGGTAGTTGTATATGTGTGCAATGCTTTGTGTGCATAAATGTGCATATAGTTCGTTGTAAATTAGCATTCAACTGTAACACATTTCAAAACGCTTGCTTTTCCATCCCTTCATACGAAAAAAGATTGTATGCATCAGCATCGTGGAGACAAAGGTGGTCGGACGTGGTGCACATGTGTGTATAATGGCTGTATATGTGTACGCATCATTGTGTATCCATATGCATCTATATTTACAGCAAATGTGTAGCAGAACAACCCCCAATCTCTATCAGGGTGCCAGATGATACAAACTCAAGTTGGGCACTGCCATCAGGATGACAGGCTGGCAGTAATCAGCTGTCTACCCTAGCATGCCCAACCTAGGCAGTAAGGTCACAAGGATATGCCAGAGGCCCAGAGAGGGCAGTTATTTGTAACGCCCTCTGGTCAAATGCCATTTGGCTCAACCAAGCGACGACTAGAACCCCTCCCAGTTGGAGCACCTCCAGAAATGGGCAATTGCTATGGCTGCCATGTGGAATGTCCGAACGCTCGCTGGGGAGGAAAGAATGCCATTCCTCCTCCTGTTGGGAGATGGACCAGTCCATCACCCGATGGACTGGTTGTAGATCCTTTTACCACGAGGGGTGGAGAGTCTTCTCCTCTGGGCAGGATAACAGACAACACGGAGTAGTTATTCTGGATAGATAAATGAATGAAAGAAACCCGGGAGTGTGGTGATGAGAGCTGAGAAGTTATGAGTTCAAGGCTGCTGTTGTTCATCTCATCAGAAGATGAATGGTGGTGGTTGTCTAATCCGCCACGAAAGATGTACATCCGTGCAGGGTTGCAGGTAACGTTCATGAGTCTGACACCACCTGTTATCTAAAATGTTTGCTAAGGTGGCTCCTCATGATAACCATCTTATTCGGTGACTTTATTGCCTGGGTGGGTCATGATAATATAAGCACGTGGATGTGAGTGATTGGAAGGCAAGGGGTCAGATTAGTTTCAACAAGAACGGTAGTTGGCTGATTTGTAACTGTGTGGTGTACTTTTCGATTTAAAGCTTTCGTGACTGCAAGGATTCATCTTCTTTGGTTCTTTCGGTAAAGTCACGTAGAATGGAATAAAATAATAAAATAAAACAATCAAACGTCGTGAGAATTTTATTGTTTTATTTTATTATTTTATTCTCATTCTACGTGACTTTACCGAAAGAACCAAAGAAGATGTGTGGTGTACCTTCCGGTGTAGACATTTGCCGAGATCAGCTGTGACCAATACATAGATCGCGATCCACGGATTGCAGAATATTTTTCTCAGAACAAACTAACCATAAGCATACCACAATTTTCGTTTCGGCTGATGGCAAATACTAATCCCCAACTAAGTTTTGATTTATTATAAACAATAATAACTTCTACCAAGAGATGGGGCTAGTACTTTACGTCTCTCCGGTACTATATTATTGGGTTAAATCCATCCGGGTGACTGTCGGTCATTGCCTTGTGGCCGTAGTTGAGATCAACCAACACCGCTCACAGTCCTTGGTGTATTGGGCTAAGGTGACCTCGAGCCTCATTCAAACCCGCAGTAGCCTGGTCTCTGCCGACTGTTCATCATCATCATCAGCACGACCCATGGGTAGATAGCCCCGTAGGTGTCCACTGCACATTTCGTCACATTTTTGTTTCCACTTTCCTCTGTCTTGTGCCAATCTGCTCAAGTAATGTGCAACACCTTTCTGACACCAAATTTCTCATGTCGCCGTCAAGCCATTTTCTATTAGATATACCTTTATTTCCGGTTCCTTCCATTCTTCCGAACAACACACTTTTAAATTTTCCTGTTGTCCATCCTAAAAATGTGTCCGTCGTATACGTGCACATTTACTACCTCCTTGTGATGGGAACACATTGAGGTATGCCGGTTGTTAATGGTTCTCGCAGAATTCAACAGCTTGGAGCTGTGGTTGGCATATTTCCTTCCCCCTCCCCCACTCCCTCCCGCTCAAGATATAACAGGAAAGTTGTTTACAAATTGGGCTATAGCTCACGCGTTTGCTATGACAGCACGGGTTACCCGGTCCATATCTCTACCGTCTCCCTCGGTAATGGATTAAGTCTTCCGGTATACTTAAAAGCTCGTTCTCACTGTCTGCTACATTGCGCTACTTGTCACCTTTTCTTGGAGGTTAGAGAGACGCTGCAAGGACGAGTGGCAGTCGGCGGGCCGCTCTGAATGACATGGGAACTGCCCCCAGTAGCTGGCGATCATCGAGCACCAATTTCATGCTGTCGAGCACGCCACTAGAAGCGCCAACACCCTATGACCATCCTGAAGGGCAAGGAATGGCGATCCGGTCTTTCCCCCACCAGATGAGGTCTGCAGAATTGTTGGGAATTGTTGTTACAGGTTTTGTAAGGGAAGGGGAAACCCCCGCATCTCAGACAACATCATGGGACACCGGGAGAGGACGACCGCGTGGAGATCGCAGAGGCTCTCAGGGTTGGAGGAAGTTAGCCAACTCCCTGCGTGTATGTAGGTTGAGCTTCTTTCGCACAGTACGTAGTCTAACGTGCTAATCGGACGTGCGTGGGTGTCTGATGTCCTTTCTGCCAAAGACCTGAAAAGGGCTTTACTTTTGATCTCAGACTGCTCTCAATACTTCACATTTCTTTCGGCTCAATGCCAGCTATTATGTTTGGTTCTTGCCAAAAAATTCGTGGCTCTGGACTCAACTCCTTAAAGCTTCCCGACTGCAGCCTCAGGCCCCATTGTCCGCCTGCTTGGCTCCCTTCTCGATCCTCGTGCTGAGCGTTTCCTCGGCCACATCCTCTCTCTCTCACCAACATCGCCTGTCTCCGTGCCTACGCTGACCCCCCCCCACCACCACCACTGCTTGCGAGGCCCTGCGCCACGCGTTTGTTACGCTCCAGGCTGAATGTCCCCAATGCCACCTCACAATTCCTTCAGCAACGACAACGTCTAACGCCGCCAACCCGGGTCCCTTCCCGAACTTCCTGGCCTCAGTCCGCTGTCTTCCCACCCACGATCGCGTGGGCCGCAAAATCCGCGTCCTCGCGTTTACATCCATCCCCGGACTTGACCCTCCTCCCTACCTCTGCAAACTTTTCCATCTCGACCTCCCAGGCAGCTCGCTCCGCTCCATCAACTCTGAACTCCTCGTTCCCGAAATCCGCTGCTTCACTGCTGGTGGTCGCTCATTTAGCTTCGGTGTTCCCTCGCTCTGGAACTCCCTACCCCAGGCAACTCCGTCTGGTCCCCTCTCTCTCTGCTCTCTCTCTCTCTCCTAAAATCTTTCCACTTCAACCTCCTTGTGTTCGGATCTCCTTCGTTGCCTCTCTTCTCTCCTTCCCTTGCTCGGTACTTCTCACTCGCTCCAGTTGCCTCCGACGTGTTCTCTGCTCGTTACTTTATGGGCGCATTATAAATGTAAGTCTTTGCCGTTTGTTGTGTCTACCTCTGTGTATGTGTGCACAATGTGCATGTGCGTCAACGTGCCTATCTGTGTAAGTGCGCTGCGCTCCAAACCCGGCAAGCGGAATTATTCGACACCAGTGACGATTATTTGAATCGGTTCTGGAGGCCTCCCCTAGATCGACTCAGCCTCAAACGAGTACAAAGGCGGTCGGGCGTGGTTGCTGGCCAACCCACAACCGCGTGTGCCGTGCCGGCCTTCATTGGTGCGCGTTAACAGCACTTGCCCTAAAATTACGTGAAGGCTGCACGGGGTATCTTTGTCTCTGTGTGTACTGCGTAAGTCTGTTTATTTTGAATTATGCCAACAGACTCCGACCCCCCCCCCCCCCCCCCCCCACAAGTCGAAATCCAAATCCACACCCCCCCCACTTCCCCTATCGCTGTGTGCCTCACGCTCGCAATTAGCGGCGCCAATTATCCAAGTCTGACGCAATTATCGGAGCGTGTGCCTGTGTACGTCGATGTAAATGTGCGTAGACCAATAACAGTGACGAATATATGAACCGCCACGTGGGCGTCCCCTCCCTCGGTCGACTCAACCTCAAATGAGCA